TGATCCTACCTCCCTACGATTGAATAGCTACATTAATTTGAGGTTCTTGAAGTGATAATCCAGTTTTAAACAGCTGCTATTTCTGATAGAGGAAAAATGCTTTCTTTATCAGCAACAAATCATTCCAACTTGGGAAAAAATTAAGAAATGTATAAAGCAGCAAAGTCGTTTACTTTCCACTTTGAATAAACAGAAAAGGTAAGTGGTAAAATGTGTCATAGCAGAATATATGTTACATTTAATATTTTGCATAATATGGCTAAAATATCCTTTTATTCCAGAAACTAATGATCACTTACTGTGAATTGAAACTTTTAAAAGTTTACCTTATAAAAACTCACTTATATAAGCAAAGCTGATTTCTAAATGAAAAAGTATTTATTTGAATAAGTTATATAATAGCTAAAAATTAAGCATACCAATATTGCCATGTCTACCATGAGGTGATATCTCTTGTACTCCTAACATAAGAGCTCACCAACCATCCTCCAAATCCCAACCTACTAAACTGTAGATGACTCCTTCCCAGTGATTTCAAACTAGCTGTAGAGCTTCAAGTAGCTTTGTGGTTCATCAGAGCTATCCCGACTCTTTAAGATTAATGTGAAGAATATAAAGTAATTACCTTAAAGTGCACAGAGTACACGGTTTACATGTATTTCCATATAGCCCTGATAAATATTTGCTAACTTTTACAATAAGAATACTGTTTGATAGGAAAAGATAAATTTATTAGGTATCTTTAATTAGCCACTTAAATTTAACTTCACTTCTAATGATCTAAAAGTCAAATTACCCAATTAGAAAATAAATGTCCTTGATTTAAGCTCTAATGTACTAGAAATAATCTAAAAGAAATGAAAATCATCTGTGAATGAGAAGAATGGAAATTTTTTGGGAAGAATCATCTTATTTGGAAGGAAAATAATTTTACCCATCTATACATGTATCCTCACTGTTTTAAGTTAACTGAGCTTAAATTTTCTACATTTATGAGAATGTTTATAAATCAGTCTTTGCTATTAATTGAAATATTCCTAACTACTCTTCTTAACTTTTAAAAATATCCTCTAGTGAGTTCCCCCTAAAAGTTCACTGGGTTTGACTCAGATGCTGGAAGCTTAGGAGATGATGGACAATGATCATATGTAACTTTGACCTCTAAAACCTTAGGCTGCTGTCCCTACCCAGTGACAGAGACAAACAGCTCTGAGTGTGCAGCTGACTGGGAAAAGGCTCAGATGTTCACCCTGCAGCTAGCTGGTACCACCAGGATGGTGCAGTCTCAGCAGACACAAGGGCACAGAATGGCCTATCTACCTACAGACTTCTTATTAGGTAGATGGTTGTTTGCTAAATTCTAACAACGTTTAAAAGCACAGGAAGGATTTGCAAGGGACTGCCTCTGAAGAAGGTGGCATCCTGCTGATACGTGGAGGTTTTCTTTTTGTTAAACATTGTCCTCTTCTTGTGCCTGCCATATCCCCATAGACAATGGTAGGAGGCTGGCTTGCACATGACACCAGACAGTGACCATGTACTCCAGTCCCAGTCCCAGTACTCATTAAAGCATTACGTCAATAAAAGGGAAAAGCAGGGTTTTGGTGCACTTTCCCTCTTTTATTCATACACCACAGACTGTGCTGGATACCAAGTACACAGTGGTGAACAAAGTAAATGTGCCCTTTGCCTTTATTAAGCTTACAAATCACTGTAGTACTGTTCAAGTTTAAGAGAATCGCCTTCTGGGATCCTGCAAACCCTGCAGTTGTCTGCGCGGTGAAACAGATGAATAGCAAAGCTAGAGTTGGTGCGCACTTCTTCCAGAGCTTGCGATACCCACACCCTATTGCTACTGAGAGAAAGTTAAATTTCCTTAACAGTTCAGATGAACGTCTTGAATGAGTTACATTCCGATCTCCACATGATGTCTTCAATGTTTGCCTATGATACTAAATCTGGCAGGTAAGAAAGAAAATTAATAGGACCATCTATATAAATCACAATCAGTCTCAGCAACAGCACAAGGAGCCAGCAAAATTTCTCTTTCTGATATTCGTACTTTCAACAGCAAACTGCTAAAGCTCCTGCTGTACACCACACACAGCACCTGGTTCTGAGGCCAATGCCAAACAGCCCCTTCTACTGGAATACCACTGTTAGAAGGATGTTAAAAGGATAAACACTTTTTCTATACATAAATAACAACACAACTGAGTTTTCAAAATAGTGAAAAAATGTGTGATATAAGAGAAAAAATTATTTGTTCTTAAACCAAGTAAATATTTTTCTTGCTTAAATGTATATCCAATAAAGGTACAAAAACCAGAGGGGTAATAAAAGGAAAGCAGAGTCATCAAATCATTGGATTACTGTGAGGGGAGAATGAAGAACAACAACTCACTAATAAGTTCACTTAACAAAAGAGCAACTCACATTACCAGACACCCTACATAATATAAAGGGAATTAAAATAAAAGAACAAACATGGCCTGAATTCAAGGTGCTTGCGTACAGAGTCTGTGATCCCAGCACTCTGAATGCACCTCTATTTTATGTTATTATTTAACACATTCCATTACAGAGCAGTGTTCATGTGATGAGTTCCACAACTGATCTATCTCACTTGAGGTCGGGGCCTGTGTTCTATTAAGCTTCTATCCTTAACACGTTCTTTGAAACTGCTTACTGAAGAACTAAGAACCAATTACTAAAAAAAATCCCATATACATGCTCCTCTGTGTGGAGCAATCAAGGACGGTGTCACAGAGAGGATGAGACACTGAGTATTTCCATAAGCAAAGTCAAGAAAGCACATCTCAACAGGAGCCAGAGGGCCAAGTCCGGATTCATTACAGGCCATGACACAGGGGAATGCCATTAGCAAGACAACTGATAAGCCTAAGGGCCCCACAGAAGAGCTGTTGCATTCCACAGGCATCACGGAGTCACCTAAGTGTTTTCAGTGAGGGGGGTAACAAAATCCCAGCACTACTTTGGGAAGATTGCTTGGGCAGCCGTGTGAAGGACGGATTAGGGGAGATTACTTGGGTTTTACTTCAGTAACCTAGGTGAGATTCAATAAAGACCTTAACAAGGGTGGTGGCAATATAAAGAATGAGCAGAGGAAAGAACAAGCTACGAGCAGCATCAAGAAGACATGCAAGGAATAATGGAGACAGACGATGGAAGATAAAATGCCAGAGACGGAAGAGAACTCTGGGCAGAAAACAGAGTAGGGCCATCTGCAGAGAAGACATTCACCAGGGCCAGGAAAGATCTAGTCTAGCAACTAGGCATGGTGACTTTTTCTTGGGACCAGTATTTAGGTTAAAAAAGAAAAGGAGACTTTACCTTGTCTAGCCCATTAGAACCCACTGAATAAGAAACAAGGACTTTTAAAAAGATAAGCTGTCTAATTAAAAGCCTGGGCCACTGGCAGAACCTTATCAGGTTTAGTGCTGTTGTTCTGTGGAGCCAGAATTCAGCAGAGAAGGCACACTGCCATCCCTTCAGTTCCAACGGGATTCACAGCACAGACATTTTCATACATCCTACAACCCAACTGATTTGATGAGTTATTTTAAACAATAACTTAGCCTAGAAATAAACACATTGGAAATCCAAATGGATTCGGTAAAAGGTGGACATGGTAAATACAGTGCCCACTGCAGCTGGCCATGCCCCCCCCCCCAACTCCTGGTCCACAGGGTGTCTAATACTACAGTGCCAGAAAACAGAATTCTTTTTTTTACAGAGAACGTTTCCTAGATTTTTTTTGCTATAAAAGTAAGGCAACAGTAATGGGATCGTCACCCCTGAGGCTATATAACCAGAGAGGGAATTATAAACGTATAAACATACTACTATTTTAAGTCTTAGAGGGCACCCTTCAGGCTGTCCAAGTCCTAAGGATCTGCTTATGCCACACCTTTGAGGACAAACGTCATTACACAAGGACAAAAGAAAGCCAAACACACAAATCCGTGATGGCTGCAGGGCTATCTGGACATCCTACCAGGGCCCACAGATAGCCCTGTTTAATTTCTCAATATACAAGTTAACGATACTATCAAAGATAAAAATCTGTTAGGAGTAGAGATATTCTTACTTATTTTTCTCACATTATTTTTGGCTCAATAATAGCAGTAACAAAAATTTACTATTAAAAAAATAGTAAAAATTGCTTATTTAAAAAGGGCACTTGAATGTTTATAGCAGCTTAATTCACAATTACAAGAATGTGGAAACAACCCAAGTGTCCATCAACCCAAAAATGAATTAATAAACTGTGGTATATGTATACCATGAAATACTATTCAGCCACAAAAAATGATGGAGACTTTTGCATTTACTTGGATGGATCTGGGGAACATTCTCCTAAGTATCTCAAGAATAGAAAAGCAAGCATCTCATGTGCTCAGTACTAATCTGAAACCAGTAGATCAACCACAGGCCCACAGGAGATAAAAACACAATAAAATTCAAGAGGAGGGAGGAGGAGGAGAGGGCTGGGTAAGTTCCCACCTACTGGGTACAATGTAAGGGTATATGACACACGTACTGGGTGATGGACTCAACTACCACTCAGGCTTTGGGGTAACACCCATAATGTAACCCAGTAGTGTGTAAAAAAATAAAATAATTAAAAAGTTAAAAAGGCACTTGTTAGCCAAAGGGAAAATGCTAATTAACTTTTCCAACATATAATTAAGACAGACCACTTAACATTTCAGTTAAGTTGTACTTTGACTGCAGAAATTTTTGTCATAATGTGCTCCAGCATAAAAACACTGCTTTACCAATCCTCTATTGAATCATTTCCCTGGTAGGTTGTCCTCTCTCAAAAGCAGCATCTTTGTTGCCATGTCTTTATGTTGAGAAGAAATTCTTTCTTGTAAAACAAGCTGCAATGTCTCTATGTTTAAAAGAAATTCCCGGAGTCAACTCACTTGATCTACCCTGGGATCCATTTTACAAAGCTTATTACCTAAGCAAACAAGTTCTTAAAACACTAAAAGACTCAAATGGGAACAATATAGAGAAGAGTATAGTCCCTGCACAAAGATGACATGCAAATTTATGAAACGTTCCACATATTCTAAAGAATGTTAAAAAAGCCCATTTGTGTCTTGTGATAAAAGACAGCCCCCCCCCAATAAAGAACCTGATAGCGAAGGCAGCAAAATGGGTGTAGGAAGAGGAAGGTGCACAGCAGAAGCTGCCTCTGCCTCGCTGTCCTTTCCTCCTCCTTTCTTCCCACTTCCATTTAGGTCTGCATGCCCAATATACACAGTGAACATTACCGAAGCCAACTCTATGAATAAATTAAAAAATAACCATTCTCCTTTAGGACAGACATGTAGTAAACTCCTGCAGTCAGACTTCTGGTCCACCCTTCTGGTCCATAACATCTGATTTACCATCAGCCTTCTGGTTTCACCTAGTTCCCTACACACGGTAAGCTCCAACATCCATCAACACAAAGAGACTCCCCTAAGGACACTCCCCTGAAAATACTCCATTCTTTTCCTACTGGTCCTTAGACCAAACCTGCCAAATACGTCTTTTCCATTGCATCTCACCCTCACCATCCATTCTTCCCTCTCCATCCCCTATTCTCAAGCTACTGGAGAATAAACAAAACATACATATGTAGATTAAAAACTCTAAGATAGGCTCGGTGCCTGTGGCTCAAGTGGCTAAGGCGCCAGCCACATACACCTAAGGTGGTGGGTTCAAATCCAGCCCCGGCCTGCCAAACAACAATGACGACTGCAACCAAAAAAAAATAGCAAGGCGTTGTGGCGGGCACCTGTGGTCCCAGCTACTTGGGAGGCTGAGGCAGGAGACTCGCTTGAGCCCAGAAGTTGGAGGTTGCTATGAGCTGTAATGCCACGGCACTCTACCCAGGGGACAGCTTGAGGCTCTGTCTAAAAACAAAAAACAAAAAACTCTAAGATAAATGTTTCTCACCCTTCTTCCCTGAAGAAGAATGCATCACTCTGTCTGGCCCTGCTCCAACATCCTGAAAAACTTGCATTTTTTTTTTCAAGATTCACTATAAATTTTACTTTCTCTGGGTTCCCCATCTCCCACTTGCAAACATGGGAGATTCCTCCTCTGACTTTCCAACTTGTTCATGAGGCTTTTAATACTCTTTACAATAAGCACCTGAGCCCCAAAGAGCCACCTAAACTGAAAGTATCCTCTACTACAGAATAAAATTCACAGGCTTCGGACAGCTAAGTCTCAGGCTACTACCTGGATCAGAGCTACTTTCCAAAACATTAAAATTACTTCAACCCCAATTTTGAAATATGTGGAGTCCTGGGGTAATTTTATTCAGTAAAGAAGTATCTTCAATTTTAATTATTTAAAAGGTATTTGCAAATGCAGTTACTACTAATGGGTCAGATAGTACAATATTCTGTACGTATGACACTTTAAATAAGAGAAGTAGCCTTAACTCTGAATATGTTTTCTTAGCCATTTTTGCAAATAGGTGCCACCAAAGTTATCAAGCTACCTATAAACAATCCACAAACTTGAGATTATTTTTTAATGTGAAAAACTGGAAATACGACTATCCTTGGCATCATTTATCAGAAGTTAAAATGATTTCCACTTAAGTAATTCTCAACTCGTTTAATACAGCTCTTACCACTCTACAGAATCCAAATACAGAAAATAGGTTCTTTAAATACACAAGAATCTGAGACCTGTCAATCAGTCTTAGATAAGTATTACAGGCACTGGCACATTTGCACCAACAATGTACCATTTTGATCATATCAAAAGATACATGCCCTGCTTCCCAATTAATAACGTCACATCTACAGGAGCACACTAGAGACAGATTAGCTTCAGGTTGGCAAGCAAGGACCATCAGACTAATAGTACAACAGGGTTTCTTTGTTCAAAGATACGTAGCTTAAGTTTTTAGATCTGCTCGAAAGATTCTTTCAATGAATAGTCATCCCAACTTCACACTAGCCACACTGTAAGTCCCCAATAGCTGGGTGTTCAAGGGAATAAAGAATGTATGGTATCTGTATTAACTCTCAAAGAGATAGTCATGTCCATACATTTTCTCATAACATAGACACAATAATCCTGATGCACAAAAGGAAGGTATAAAACCCTGATTATTTAGAAAAGCTGGAACATTCCAACCTGTGAGAACAAAAGCTCCTGAGCTCACTCTGGACCCTTCTAGACCTCACCCTATGTATCTCTTCATTTGTCTCCTTTGAGATACTCCTTGTAATAAATTGGTAAACATAAGTAAATGCTTCCCTGAGTTCTGTGAGCTGCTCTAACAAAATAATCAAATGTAGCGAGGGATTCAGAGGAACCCCAATTTGAAGCCAGTCAGTGAGAAGTTCTGGAGGCCTGCACTCGGGACTTGTGGGGGAGGTAGGGGGCTGTTGGTCTTGGGGACCGAGCCCTCGACTTGTGGGACCTGAACTATCTCCAGGAGACAGTGTTGGAACTGAAACTGAGGACGCCCTACTGGTGTCCGCTGCAGGGTGTGTGGAGAAAACCAGCACACTTGGTAACAGAAGTCTTCTGTGTTGACTGCTGTGGCGGGAGAGCAGAGCAAAAGCACAGACTGAGAATTTTGTCCAGAACACTACTTCTGCCTCAAAAGATTAAAAGTTTAATACTTCCCTTAACACAAAATGCCTAGTAAGCTCCTGTTGTATTTATTTATCCCTCTCCTTTTGCAGTCATCTACTTTATAAGCACTTATGTTAGCGTCTCCTGCCATAGCACCTCAGAGCAAAGCCTCATTATTTTCTATTTCTAAACAAAGAAAGAAAAACAAAGGTAAACTGTAGAATGCGTGTTTGATGGGTGGAGTTCTTTGCTTTCCCACTAGCACACTTAAAGGAATAAATATTTAAAACATATGGCATAATGCTCCAGAATATTCAATAGATACATGGCACAATAATTTGATCACTGCTTCAAAGCAAATGCTCTTAATTGGTGAGTTTTAAAATAATATGCTTAAAGAAAGTGGAGGCTATTAAAGAGAAAGTACCTACACTTATGTGTTGCACAGCAACGCCTTAGTCAAGGCGGGGCCACATATGTGTGTATCCACACACTACAGATTATAACGAAGCAGAAAAATTCCTTTCACCTGATGAAATGGCACCATTTCATCCATGGCACTGTTCTTATGCAGCAGCACAACACGTTACTCACGTGTTAGTGGTGAGGGTGGTATAAATAAAACCACCGCACTGCTAGTTATATAAAAGTACGAGACACACAATTTATATACGGTACATAATACTTGATAATCATGATAAACAACTGCGTCTCTGGTTTCTACGGCCTGTGGGCCACATGCGCCTGCCTAGACATTTATCCGGCCCGCTGGGTGTTTTTGCTGCCACTGCCTGTCTGGCTTAGCAGCTGACTTGTCCTAGGGCCCGCAGTCTGGCCCTCCAATGGTCTGAGGGACGGTGAACTGGTCCCCTGTTTAAAAAGTTTGAGGACCCCTGCTTTAGAGTGTACTCCTACTTATAAATTAAGTTACCCATAAGACAGCCTCAGGCAGGCCTTCAGGAGGTACTCCACGACAGCTCTGTGTGGGTTTGCTCTTGAAGACCTTCTAGGGACAAGAGGTAGAGTGGAAGACAGTTGATACTGACCCTGTGTAGGCCTAGGAGAGCATGTATGTTTATATCTTACTTCCTCCCCCCTTTTTTTGAGATAAAGTCTCACTCTGTTGACCTGGGTACAGCGTCACGGCATCATCAGAGCTCACCGCAACCTCAAACTCTTGGGCTTGAGCAATCTTCTTGCCTCAGCCTCCTGAGTAACTGGGACCAGAGGTGTACAGCACTATGCCTGGCTAGTTTTTCTATTTTTAGTAGAGTTGGAGTCTTGCTCTTATTCAGACTGGTCTCAAACTCTTGAGCTCAACCACCTTGGCCTTCCACAGTGGTAGGATTACAGATGTGAGTCATTGCACCTGGCCTGTATCTTAGTTTTTATTTTAAAAACTTTTTAAACTAAAAAAAATTAAAATAGGATTAAAATAGGGTGGCACCTATGGCTCAAAGGAGTAGGGCACTGGCCCCATACACAAGAGGTGATGGGTTCAAACTCAGCCCCGGCCAAAAACTGCAAAAAAAAAAAAAAAAAAAAATTAAAATAGAAAAAAGCTTACTAGATAAGGATATAAAGAAAGGATTTTTACATAGTTGTATAATGTTTTTGTTTTAAGCTGTATTATTACAAACAAGTAAAAAAGTTAAAAAACATTAAAAAGTTTATAAAGAAAAAAAGTTACAGGAAGCTAACGTTCATGTATTAGTGAAAAATAAAATGTTTATATAAATTTAGCGCAGCCCCACTGTACAGTGTTTATGAGTCCACAGTAGGGTACGGTGATGTCGGAGGCCTTCACACTCCCTCGTCTCTCACGCACTGACTCCCCAGAGTAACTCGCAGTCCTGCAAGGCCCTTCACGGTAAGGCCCCAAACAGGAATGCTATTTTTATCTCTTATACTTCATTTTATGGCATCTTTTCTATGTTTAGATATGCTTAAATACACAAATATTTTCCATTGTCTTACAACTGCTGATGGGATTCAGTCCAATAATGCAATGTGCAGATCTGCAGCCTCAGAGCAGCAGGTCACACACCACACGGCCTGGATGAAGAGCAGGCTCCACCATCTAAGTCTGCAGAAGTACACTCTATAAGGTTCATAATGTTCGCAAAATGATGGAAGCACCTAATAATATACTTCTCAGAATGTAACCCTGTTAAGTGACACATGACTATATTATAATTAATGGCATCATATAGGAGTAAATATCTCGTGGGAATTTAAAAAGAACCTGAGATTCTCTAATGATCTTTAAGTAATGTTATTTTATTCTGTGAGTTAAATAAAACTGAACTTTAGCAATTAGGCTTGAGTTAACATAAAACTATATCTGGAAGTAATCTCCAAAAGCAATCTGTGGCTAAAGCATTTTAATTCACAAATATGCTGAACATTCCTCTGAACACCTGACATCTGCATCCACATGCACAATAAAGTGTCTCCTGAGCAAACGGTCCTTCTGGAG